TTAGGAAACTATTTGAAAAATTATAATTTCCAAATAGATGGAAGAAAGGTATGGAAATGGTTTTAAAAGGGATTGTGTTCTATTGAAACATAGATTTTATTTTTGTTTTGATGGTAGTATGACAGCTTTTCTATACATCAGTGCTTAATATAGATGATCATTTTCATGCTTTTTTAAGACAGGTGGTTACTTCTATTTGAAGTCTCTATGAAGGCATCAGCAATGTCATGTATTGTTAAGAAAAAGTTCTCACAAATTTCTTATTTACCTAGAGGTAGGATTGGTTTTTGTATAGCAAAATAGTATTCTTGTTTAAACTATCATTTCTCATTTAGTGTCATCTTATTCATAGGCTGTCTATTATGCTGTGAAAAGTTTTAGAGCAACAGAAAAAAAAAAGAAATTCTTTTTTAAATTTTTTCTTGCATGGAATAAAGAAAACATTTCCTGGAGGTATTTAGAGAAAAAGGGATCATTCTTTGCAGGAGCTATCTTGATATCATGTTAGTTTTTCATTTGCGTTCCAAAAGCACAAGAAGTGTTCTGTGTTTCTATGCATCATTCTGATCATGGATTCTATATGTGTTGAGTGTGTGAGATTGAATCTTGAGTGTATATTTTTTTTTTTTTTTTTTTTTTTTTTTTCCTTTTTTTTGGCATGCTTTCACATATAACTTTGCACATTTCCTTTCTCTTCTTTCTTGAAGGTGGAGGTTACTCAGTGGGTTTCTTCAAAGCACAACATGGGTTTTGCTTTTAATCACAGTGTGTGGCAACAGATAAAGGCATGTAGCTCACAGTTTTGTGATCATGATGACTACAACTGGGACTGGTCACTACTTCACGTGAGCTCCTCCTGCCTTCCGCAGAAATTGCACACACTTGTTCTCCGTGCCCCAAGGGTCTTCCACATTGGAGAATGGTATGTAGGACTGCCTGATTTAATGTATTTTTTTTCCTTGCAGTGCTGAATGGATCACTCTGAAAACTTATGAATTTGCCACTAAATTTCTTTTCTTTTCTTAATACATCTGTAGATTGTAAATTCTGATGTTTTTGCTCATTTGATAGTGGTGTCCACCATAAAAAGAAGGACTGCAGTTCTCGCACTGTCTTACACAAAGTGCATCGAGCTATACAAGTGGGACAACATACTTTATTTCCACGACAACTGGTTGTGGTTCACACACCTCCAAAAAAGGTTGGTTTATTGTATCTTGTCATTTTGTTACCTTCAAGAAATGCATATAGTTAGGCTTTCTTTCATGTATACTTGATGTTAAAACTTGGTTCAGATTATTGTTTTGTGACCTGTTGATTGCAAGATTTCAGGCAAAATTTGGTAGAATATCAGAATTATGTGTGAATGAGAATGAATGTGTAATTGATATTTCTGTAATATCTTATGACGATGATATTATTGAAAGGGCAATTATGCATCTTGTTTTTTTAATCATTCATTCATATATCTGTCACCATTTATCACAGTGCAATATGTTAACAAACACCTAGCCTAAAAAAGTCTGTTGGATGCATGCACAGCAAGAAAATAGAGAGAATGCAAAAGAACGCAATAAATCTGCAACCAGTAGGTCATAATTATAGCTGACTGACACATCCAATTTCCAGGTGAAAAAGCACAAGGGCAACGGAGGCTGGGGCGACAAAAGGGATCACGCCCTTTGTCGTTCATTTAGTGTGAGTACCGCCCCTGATTCTGTGATGGTCAACAGCTCTACTCTGTCGACGCAAGTGGTTGGTAATAATTCAGTCAATGGGAGTGCGATAGTCCGGAGTGGCTCTTGATCATGGCACTGCAATTTTCTTATTACTGATGTATATAAGTTCAGACTTACAATGTGATGAATTTTTAGCACAAGGGAAAGAAGTTGTAAATGAATGAGGTTCTTATGAAGGATGAGATCTTTACATTACTGTGAGTTGATTCATTCATCAGAAAATTGATAATCTTTGCACAATACAGAATATGGATGCCTTTTATCACAGATTTTTGAAGTCCATTTGAAGCAAGTATGACTTTTTGTTATTAGTTGCTTTTACTATCATACTCTCATTTTACATCTAGGCAGATTTGTGGAAATTGAAAAGAACAAAAGCAAAAATATATATGTGTTGCAAAGCTAGTTTCCTTGATTTATGGAGAGTTCATTATCAGTAAGCATAGTTTGATACCTCAGTATCAAGCACAACAAGGCATACTATTTTGTCAATTACATAAATGAGATTACTCTCAGTAAGTATGACAATCAGTTTGTAGTTTACCCACTGTGAATGGGCATTATGAATATTATTGTGTTTGTAAAGGCTCATATTGTTGACGTCAATTTAGTTAGTGCTGTGAAAGACATTTTTTTAATCAGTATTTTGAATTATATTCCATTTTATTTTTAACCCATTGCTGCTGGGACCATGTGCTGTCCTCTGTAGATTTTGTTTTATTAGTTTTGATTAGTAATAAACTCACTAAAGACTTTATTGTAAGCCTACCAGAACTCACCTGTTTACCTTATTGTTAATTTTTTTTGGAAAACAGGGCTTTAATGTCTGTTACTATTATTATTGTTTGTAAGATCATCATTATTATTGTTGTTATTTTTATTATGATTATTATCATCATCATTATTAGTATTGTTAATTACTATTATTGTTTTTATTATTATTATAATTATTTTTATTATTATTTTTATTGTTATTGATATTGATATTGATATTGATATTGATATTGATATTGATATTGTTTTTATTTGCTGTCATTGCCCATTGTTGTCATTATCATCATCATTATTATTAAAACTTTATCGACAGTAATGATAATGAAAACAAAGAGAATCTAAGTAATGGGATAATCAGGTGAGGTTTGGTGACCAAGTGATTGGTGATTAACCATTTCTGGAAGTGTCTTTGTTGAAACAAAATGAAAACAGTGGACATGCACTCCTGGCATCTACAGATAAAGAGACCTATATGTAAAAATGTATTGCGTATTTGTTGGCAGGTGTAAAATACCTCATTTTTTCAAATTCTATATATTTTTTGGGTTACAATAGTACAATTTCAATCTTAAATTATTAGAGTCTTACTGCTTTTTGTCACATACTACAGTATTAGTCTTATTGTTACTGCCGTACCAAACCTTTACTTGTACATTGTTGTAGCTTGTGCTATGTTATGGAGTGGCTTTAATGTTAAAGTACTGTATGCTTTGCTGGTTACATTTACAGATAAGGTAACTTGATTACTGTCCTGGGGATTGTGCTCTGTATGAAGAAAATTTTCGTGTATACTTGTCAATTTGCTTGATACAATTTTTTTTTTTTTTTTTTTTTTAATTTAAATTTTATTATTTTTTTTTTTAAGTTTTAATTTTTTTGTATGTGTCAAGGCTTCATGCAGAAAAATTATAGCCCTGAACTTACCATGCTTATATGTTCTTTATGATAATGATATTTCAAAAACTCTTAAATTCTGTGGCTTCTTATATACAAATCACATCCATGATGAAAGGTTGTGCTCTATAGTATGTCGATGGGTGCTCTTCTTATTGCTAAGCTATTATTCCCCTATTTCAATGCTTTATACCCCATAAAAAGATACTCTTTATAATTTCTTAATCATTATTTTAGGCTTCAATTGTTTTTTGGTTTATCTGCTGATATATATATATATATATATATATATATATATATATATATATATATATATATATATATATATATATATTTTTTTTTTTTTTTCTTTTTTTTTTTTCTTCTCAGCCATCCTTTCCTGATGAGATTTTAATAGCACAAAAGATATATTGCCATTGATATATACAGTTTTTCTTCAATGTTTCTTCATGTTCCACTAGTGTTGTAAGGTCACGAGGCACTTCTCTAATCTAAACAATACTAAAATAGTGCTGGTGCAGCTTATTGCTGTGGTCCTAGATAAGTACCTAAATTATATGTAAATCATGCTAGTCACTTAATAGTCATAAATTATGTCCTGGAAGTTCAATAAGTCTCAAAAACTTGGCAAGAGTTGTGGCTTGCGACACCCGCCAGATGGTAAAGGTAAATGAATTAACTATATTTAGACTCATAAGGACGCATGTTTCAAATGATATGATGACTGACTAATTACAGCTCTAGGACTTACATATTTATATTTTTTTCTTGAACTAGAAGTATTTATGATATCCAGGGGCATTACACCTAGTTTCTCTCAAGCATTGCTTATAACTACTGTCACGTTAATTGAAAAGCCGTCTAGGAAGTGATTAAAAAATCTGCTTATCATCTATTTTCTCATCATTATACTGTATCAGTGGGAATGAGATATTTTCTTGAAGCCACCCATGCCTTTTGTGCCAAAGAGGCACAGTTACAAATTGGAAGAATATTTGCACTATGGTGTTATTTTCACACAAAGCCTCTTTTTATGCTAGTGTAGCCTTAATCTGTCAATGTGCCAGAAAACTTGATTGTGGGCAGACTAATGTAGCAGAGTAGTTAGAGAATATTTGTATATTTGGTATTGTATGTATTGCAGTGTTTTGTGGAAAGATGCTACAAGAGAGGGCATATTTATAATGAAGAAAGTATTAAAAAGTAAAAAAAAAAAAAAGAAACAAAAAACAAAACAAAACAAAAAAACTAAAAATCTGCACAGAATTTATAATACAGAATTATAGTTTGCACATTTGTAGTCTGTGCTAGAATACATATGCCAGGGTTTGTCACACGTGGGAAATTTATACATATTTAAAAATGAACTGTATTTTTGGGGCTATACGCCTGTGCTAGTCATACTCAGTATTTATTTAGGTACTGTACAGAGGGCCATTCATATGTTGATCTATTTATGCTTGCAATGGGTACCCTAGGTTTTAGTCAATAAAAAAAAAAAGAAATGCATTCTTCACCATCTTCATATCCATCAATACCCGTTCCCCTACCCACCAGAATGGCGCCAAAATTACTTTAGTCAGTATGAAAGTGGCCCCGAAAATCATCATGTATGCATCTTAACTTTGTGAGTTCATATTGTCCCCATATAATCACAGTATGCTAAGATGTCCTATGATGTCCTTGTGGACTTTGGTTCAGTTGGTTTTCGTGTCTTATATTTTTGGGAACTTATTGGTGTTTTAGTTGGTCGTAATCAGCCAGATATTCTTTATTCTGGTTATATATGTTATGGAGAGGAATTTTTATACAGGTCTTGTGTACTATTTCCACTTAGGTATAGTTTACCAGTGTTAGATATCCTATTTACTAATTCCACAATCAGTGTGTTTATGGTCACAATATTTGGATAAGTGGCAACATTTTTTAAATTTGTTTTGTATTGAGTTTTCATTGTGGTGAGTTGCCATCATGATTTAGTGTTGGTAACCAGTATATTTTTTGTTTTGAAGATTGATTTTGTTCTGCATCTACTTTTCCAGCAAGTAGTGCATTACAGTTTGTTAATTTGTCATGAAGGAAGGGAGAAAGAAAAATAATAGGAAATGGTTTAGACGGGAAAGAAACAGTGAGTGTTTGCATATTATTTCCAATCTTTCAAGTTTTGTTTTTCATGCTATACTTCTTTAAAAGGGAGAGGGAGGGAAAACTAATTCAAGGAGAGAAAAAAAATTAGATTCTCAAGAAGCAGCATTCTCATTCTTGCAGCTTTAGAATTTGAAGCACTTGTTACTCAGCTGAAATTGCCATGTATGTCTGTACCTCAAAAAGCGTTTACTTTTGTTATGTTCTCTGTTATATTCTTATTCTTTTTGAGAGGTGTGTCTTGTGCTTATTTTTTGAGGAATGATTTGATTTATTCATGTGTTATGGTATTAAAGCTTCTTGAATGCTTTTATTGACAATTGCAGATGTGTGTATCAATGAAATGCCGAATTTTAAATTGATTAGAAGAAATTGCATAAAGAAGAGAGAAAAAAAAAATCATTTTACTGTTGAATTAGATTTATAATAAGAATTGGACTTGCAAGTGTTACTTTATTAGACATGCTATACAGGGACTGTGTTTAAGAGTACGGAGATGCACTTTTTCATAAACAATGGCATAGTGTGATGTAACAGTAGGCAGTACACCAGGGTTTTAGATGGATGTATAGGGAAATAAGTATATTCCATTGCATTTCACATATGTATATCAGTTCTTTGAAAGTGAGTCCCCCAAATTTACAAGAGAATAATTATGATGACTTCTTCTATAACATCATTAAATCTTAGGGAAAAGCTTAATGCAAAGGAATCAGTTATATAGCGAAGTCTTCAGTCAGCAGAGCATTTATAGGAGGCATGACAGAGTATAATGACTATGTAAGAATATTGTTATAAGAGCTAAATACAGGGTGAGAATAGATTGTAGGGAACTTTTATGTACACTATATGGTAAACTACAAGTACATACCAGTATTTCATATAAGAACTAAATATTTCATTTATGAGATTAACCTGAAAGTGAGTTGGTATATTCTCTTGATTTTTGTGCATATTACTAGCTGCTTATGCATGGTATGCCTTTAATTTGTCTAATTATTTATACATTTATTTGCATATCAGATTTTTTTGGGCATGGATGTTTGACTTTGCCTGTTCTTACATTCCATATAAAGCATGTTTTGGTATTTAAAATGGTGCCATGGTTTGATTGCTAATATTTATTAGTCAAAGTAAAAACAGTCATTGCTCTGTTTTTGGGTGAAATCCATGGTTTGAGGTTATTTATTATTTAATTAAGTTTATGCTATTTATTGGAGTGCTTCAGTTTGATTTTTTAGAACTGAGAGCTGAGTTGCTTACTGTATGATTTTAATGTATATGTTGTTAATCAGTTTGTATATTTTTCAGTAGCTCTATGTCTGGATACACTTCTACATACACATCCAAATACATACATGCCTTCAGATGTGCAAATGTATGTACAGAAATTTCCGAACCCATTTACATAAGCTAAGGTAAACAAGTAAATATACAAACACATGCAAACTTGTATGCACACCTACAAACACACTTATATGTACATAAGAATATGGACATAAACAAACACAGATGTATACAAACAAACACACAAACACCCATGCTCATGCCCAAACACAATTGAAGATGTTCCCATGAATGTAAGTTGTTAACTAAAGACCAACTTATTGAATAGATATTCCACACTGCCAAAGATCTCATAAATTACTGTAATGTATTTTCTTGTTACAGAAAAAAGTGTTTAGTGGTAAAGTAAACAGCTGGTACTTATAATGTGTCTGTTGTATAACAGTGTTAATGTTTACAAGTGGGACTTTGTGTATATATAAGAAATGGATACTTATCAATATATACACTCATTTTCAAATTCCCACATGCATAAAGGCAGTTACTTATTTACTTCCCTTCTCTCTCTCTCTCTCTCTCTCTCTCTCTCTCTCTCTCTCTCTCTCTCTCTCTCTCTCTCTCTCTCTCTCTCTCTCTCTCTCTCTCTTCTCTCTCTCTCTCTCTCTCTCTCCTCTCTCTCTCTCCTCTCTCTCTCCTCTCCTCTCTCTCTCTCTCTCTCCTCTCTCTCTTCTCTCTCTCTCTCTCTCTCTCTCTCTCTCTCTCTTTTTT